ATGATCGTACAAAGCATGTGGAGGTTGATCGAAATTTCATTAAAGAAAAGTTGGATGCGGAGATTGTTTCCTTTCCGTTCATCCGCTCAGAGTATCAGTTAGCCGATGTTCTTACGAAAGTTGTTTCTACAAGTATCTTTCGCAACTCCCTCGACAAGTTGGACATGCGTGACGTCTTTGCTCCAACTTGAGGGGGAGTGTTGGCGAGATATATCCTATTCTATTCGGGTTTTATTTATTTTTTTCCTTTTGTATAGATATTATGTAATTAGGATTCCACTTATTTCCTAATTCAACCCTACTAGGGTTTGTAACATTCTATTATAAATACCTCCTTTCGGAGAATGAAATAAGATCTGAAAATATTCTACCATATTGTTTGACTAAATTGATTCCCTTCATGCCTTAAAAGAAGCTCAACTTTTTCCAAACTCATTAGTTTTCCCAGATTTTGGACATTCCCCCCACTGCCTTTCCATTTCAAGTTTTTAAGATTTGGAGCAAAAACCTTCAATGAATTCCTGTTTGTATCTCGACGATAGGTAGGCCATAGTTCTATATCTATAGTTTCAAGCTTCTCACCAGATATATTAAAATGCAAGGGGTCATTATAATGTGTCCTGGGACGAAAGTTTTCCAAAGACGAACTTTCAATGGTGATATTCTGTATCCCTCCAATACGAAGAAGCTCTAACTTCTTAATGCATTTGTAGGAACATGTGATCCATTTGAAAAACATCTCGTCTACTATTGTGGTTCGTAGAGTAACCACAGCTCATGCAGAGACGCTGCATCCTATTAGCACCACGATACAACAAGTATCTATCCAAAGAAGTCATCATCCTCACTTCATACTGGTGGGTTGTTTCTGCTGCACATAATCTTAGCCGCTCGGCTATACTATTTATAAAAAATATTTATTAAAAAAAGGACCCCCGTACAGCCGGGTGGCTATACTCTTTTTTTTTAAACCGAGTATAGCCGAACGGCTATACTATTTATAAAAATAAAAAAAGGCCCCACCTGTGATGCGCCCGCTTTGCCACGTGTCAAAAATATTATAGCCGTATTATAGCCGCATGGCTATACTATTTTTATCAAAATCGTAGTATAGCCGCGCGGCTGTACTATTTTTATTATAAAAAATGAGTCTCGCCGCACGGCTATACTACTTTTCATTATTAAAAAATAGTATAGCCGTTTATTATAAAAAAAAATCCGAATATAGCCGGACGGCTATACTATTTATAATAAAACAGGGACCACTCTCCTGGAGCCTAGCCCCCGCTCCGCCACGTGTAAAAGTAGTATCGCCGGGCGGCTATAAGATTTTTTAATAATAAAAAACTGTAGTATAGCCGCTTGGCTATACGGTTTTTTTAAAATTAAAAAACCCGAATATAGCCGGGCGGCTATACTATTAAAAAAAAAGGACCCGCCTGGCGCTAGGGCTTGCTTCGCCACGTGTCAAAAAAGTATAGCCGCTCGGCGATAGTTACGCCAAAAAAAAAAGGGACAAAGATTAGGTGCACGTGCATCCAACTTAGCGTTGGCCGTAGCTGTAGCGTATCTTCCCTCCAAGACCCGCTAAAAGCTCACGTGACCAAAACTGGCAGTTTCAATTCAACGTCTACATAGTAGTAGAAGCTTTGAAATGAAAACTTACATATGGAGCAGCCCTGAGCTTACACAGTGACACTCTTCAGAGAGAGAGAGAGAGAGA